TCGACAAAAAGAGGAAACACCTTTGCTAATGAACGTCCTAATGGCATCCCTCATTAAACTCCAATTCCCGTCCCGACCCCGCCTCCCCGGGTCGAACTTCTGCGTACCCGAACGCTCCGAGGACGGTTGTTGGAACGAATTTTCGGCCCCGGAGCGTAAGCTAAATTATCAAACGGCCGCGAGTTCGTTAAAAAACAGTTGTCTGGTATTTTTACCTTGTTTCCCAAGCCATATAAACACCGACTATGAGCAGCAGACCTTTGTAAACGTAAAGCGCGCCCAGCCAGCTGTTCGTGTGTTGCGAATGACACACCTCCACCTGCGCCCATATTCAAACGTGCAAGTTAATTGGCTACGTTCGTTAAAGTTAACGATACCGATGCCCGATATACGCTTTTAATGGAACGATCCGCTCCGGACCTGGCCAGATTTCGTTTACCTGAGGTTGATACACGACGCCGCGGTCCTGCGGGTTAAACTCCAAGGTCAGGTTCCGCAGATGACGCTGCATGGGGTCGAAGGTGACCCACAGGGTCACCACGAGGCCGTCTATCAGCAGGAGGACGCAGATCAAGCTAATAAGCCGGGTGTCTTGCAGCAGCTGCAAGCGCCAGACGAATACTGTTTTCGTAATGCCGAGGAAACGGGGGAGCTCCCTGAGAGATCTGAATCTTTCAGTGGCACCGTACCTTGTTCTTGACGACGCCGCTTCTGCTCTTCGTGAAAATCCGATGCACGCGGTACGTCTTGGTGAACATCGATCCGAAAGCCAAAGAGAAGCCGGCGGACAATAGGTATACTCGCGCCTGGAACGAACACGATCAGATTTCGAGGAAAGGGGATCGAGATTGGTCGCGGGACCAACGGGCTTTCCGGCTGTGGAAAATGAATGCTCACTGTGCAGACCGCCGGATAATAATCGTCGCTGTCCGGCAGCGTGGCGTGATCCAGGCCGAGAAGGATCACCGCGGCATAGACGAGGCCGCATCCGACGGCCGCCATGTTATTCAGCCTGGGGCTCGAAAGTTTGATACTCCTGCCGGTCGCGAGAAACGAAACGATTTGTACAATTCGTCGAAGGTTATCGCGCGTTTCTGTGCAACGAACCGGCGAGACTTACTTGTGCCTGCGGAAGTGCAGATTGAACGCCAGGAATGCCAGCGCCAGAGTGACACCGACGCTCGCGATGCAAGTAACCGCGAGGAAAGCTGCAGGTGCCACGGTCACCACCCGTAACCTGTGCACACGAAGAACGACCGTTTCAATGCCTTTACGATGCCGCCGAAAGTTAATAAACCCGTAACCGTGGCCGTAACGAACGTCTAATGCCCCGAGAAAACCCGCCAGGATGCTTTAATTGGTCGGCGTTCCCCTTCTAAGCACCGGCTCCAATTGAAAGTTCAAACTTCGCCGGCTTCATCCCCCGTTCTATTCATTTTTCTCCGGCTTATCGCGGTGTTTTATCATGGCCAGCTTATGCCGCGATACCATCTCGTAACACGTGCCCGAGCACTTTCGCCGGATATTTCAACGGCAAGATGTTAACAGAAATTTTTCTCGAAAGTAAACGTCAGCCTACGCCCAAATACATTTTTATCATCCATATCGGTTCCCGCCGACTATACGCGGCTATCGTAAAATCCCCGTTTAATAAGGGGAACTTTTACAACCGTTTTATGTGCATTACCGATGTGATCAAATTTTACGCGGTCGCGGGGAATCCCTGTTAACATGGAACCGCGGCGCACTCGAGATTCGCTGAACGCGTCGCGACAACGTTTACCCTTTACCGTGAATAACGCGGTTATTAGCATAGGGAACCGATACCTGGTTACGAACGATCATGTAGTTAGGAGTCCTGTACCGGCGGATACGTACGAAGCTTGCCGATAATTATATTTATATCCCGTCCGTATCTGCGCCAGCAGATTGTTATTCATTATTTAACAAAACCCGCAAGGTGTACCGGAATTATCGACAAACGGAACTGCCTGCATGACAAGTGGAATTGAAGCGTGGTCATAGCGTTATTAACACTATACCGATGACAGAATACGCGTCAACGGTTATTTTACCGATGCGCGGTGTAATCCAGAAGCAACAGAATAATTGACGCAATTGGCACGGCAATCAGATCCGAGCGATCTAAATCGCGGTTGAAACGATAAAATCGGACGCGTTAATACGTACCGGAAAACCCTTCGCGCCGTAGGAGGTTGTCCGCCGGGCCATTTCGTCGTTGCACATTCTGGACAATTCATTATCAGTTTTTCATCCTCGGGGTTAAAAGTAGCTATCCGCCTGGTCATGTGGTCTGTAATTGAAAAACCTTAAGACCTCCTCAGTCTTCGAGCGGGATCGCGGAGCAATATTTGACAAGTTAAATAATCGTACAACACGACGCATCAATCTTTCCGAAACAATTACCTGCTCCGTGAATCAATCGGACGCGATCGAAGCACGACCTCGGGATCTGGACGCGATCTCGCTGACGAATTCATGAGGCGAGCTTGTAATAAACGGGGAAACGATACCCAAGACCGTTGGTTTTCATAGAGTTTTCGATTTTGTTGGGGAACGCCGGTGCTATTAATATTCACGGAAATCAACGCGAAGTTTACATTTAAATGACAATACTCGCTTCGTTTCACGCCTGTTGCCAGGTTTCCCAGGCAAAGCCAATTTCCGAGAGCTTCGAAGTTTATATTCGCGGGAAATGCTGCTCGGTCTTTGTCACGGTAAATCTTTAAACAAGTATACGCTCCTATTTCTGGGTTGACGAGTAGTGGAACCAACGCGGACATTTTTTATTTTAACGGGTCTTCTTTCCGCGAGTGGTATTATTTCCTCCTCGAAATTGAACGAGATCTTGCATCGCCGATGCGATTCTTTAGAGCGATGCGCCGTGAACTTTCGCGGAAGCATCTTCGCGCGTTCGTCAGATTCTCTGGGGCCAACTTCGCGAGATACCTCCGTGCAGTCTTTAAATTTTATATCATACTGCAAGCCCTGGGAATTCCGATCTTACAGTTTTCCCATACTCTCGATTCAAAAATCGCGTGTTTACGCAACTCGTCGCGTAACCGGCGCTTCCTACGAAAAGGACAATTCTGGAAAATTGCTCGGCAATTGAATTTACATCACGTTTCCTCGAGCACTTTGTTCGAACGTCGCGAGCGCTTGTGCTTTACCTCCTTCGCTCCTGTACAGTTAATTAATAATCACTAGTCTGTGATACAAGTTGAAAGTTACTGCTCCTTTAATCAACAGATCTTCTTCTAAACGAGAGAAGAACAGAGATTTCCATGCGTTCACGTTTTTCCTGGTCTCCCTCGGAAAACTGACGTCGCCAATTCCGATCCCGTAATTTCTATACTCCGACGTGGACTTACACTTCTCTCTGGAAACTTTCGACGGGAAACTGTTCCAACTCGTTCCCCTCTCCGCGAAAGAGTACTTTCGCAATTTATGTTACCAACTTATCGTTTTTTGCATCGAATGCGACTACCGACGGAACTTCGTTCGTCGAACGTACAGTTTACTTTCCGTCGTCATTACTTCGCAGGGAACTACTTGGCGCGACTAATCACCGCGAAAATTGTTTCGAATCGAAGCAGTGATATTTGTGTTGGGTTTATCTTCGGGAAGCCAATGAGCGGTACGTTTCCCCTCGCGTGGCCGGGAAACGAGGCGAGCACGCGTCCGCCATTTTTACGCGTCGCGCTGCTCCTTCTTCAACGTCGCCCGTTTTCCTATAATAAATGTTCCACGGAGACAACGAAATCATCCGTACAGTTTTTTGCTCCTCCCGTCCCTCGGAACTGATAATACTTTTTCGTTCGCGCAACAGCGACGGCTGTAGGTACACACATTCAATTTCTGGCGAATCCCGCGGTTTTGCGCGTGATCCGTCGCGTGAAAGGGGAAGGAAAGCACGGCGGCGTTCTTCCTCCTCCTTTCTCCTGTCGCCGAGATTATGCTCGAAAGTTAAATCCGAGACCCGCGCCGATGTGGCTGTTATCCGCTACGGGATTTGATGGATTACAGCCGCAGGATCTCGACTGTCGCCTGGCTAGATGGATGAAAGAGTGCGCGGAGGAGGTAAAGTGGAATAAAAAACGGAGGAAACAAGGAGAAAAAAAGGGAAAATACAGAACAGAGGTAACAGAAAGCGCGGAGGTAAAGAAGCAAACGGTTGATGGTATCCAATTTGTCTCGAACCGGCGAGGGTTCTTTGTGGAGTACCGTTAGCTATCGCTGTCGGAAATTCGTGCCAGTTCGTTGACTTTATCTGAAATCGATGCTCGAAACGCGAACCAGAAAAAGAAGCTGTTTCTTCGAGGCTCGTGCAAGGTTAACGAGCCAAGCTCCGAGTCCCCGGGACCGCGAACGGCCGTCCGGCCGTCTGAACTGGGTGAAAATGTCATGAACTCGGTCGCCTCCGTCAATCCCGTAGGACACCACCTTCGCGGGGCGAAGCTGCGCGACTTTCGAATCTCATAGAAATGTTTTACGAAGCGACGGAAATCTTCTTGTACCGCCCCAATCTTCGGTCCTCTTCCATTCCCACACCTCGAACAACGCGGAACCAGCGGTTTCCCGCTGGGACGATCGTAACGGCTTACAAGGAAACTGACAGCCACCGGGATAAAGAAAGAAACGCCACCCCCCGAGTCCGGCGAGCTCCGGCCGAGCGATTCTAACGATCCAGGACGCGTTTCAACGGTTTCGGCGGTCGGGACACAGGTGTAATGAAAGACGAAAGACAGGAGCGGGCGTCTTCCATCGAGGCTTTTAAGAGATTGTTCGGATCTTCGTCCAATAGCGACTATGTGGAACGAGGGAGGGAAACGGCGAAAAAAGGATGGGAGCGAGGGGAGCGACGGGGGGACATAGGTAGAAGAACGGAGGAGGAGTAATGAGTCCCGTTCTCAATTTCATGGCGCAGCTTGCGAGAACGCGAGCACTTTCCGGCAGATTGATTTTCGATCGCGTCGAACGTAGGTACAATAATCCGTGAACGCGAAAACGGCGCGTGGAGCGGCGGGCGCCTTGATTGCGTCGATTCGGAGCCTCGGGTCCGCCGCTTCCGTTCCGCGCGAATTAAACGAATTCAAATCGAAACAGGCGACGAACGGCCTCGACGGCAGGGGCGCGAGTGTCATCGACACCGATACATCGAGGTCGCGGGGCGGAAAAGAAGCTTAATTTCACAGAGAGCCGTACGTCTGTTCTCGAGGCGGGTGTTTCGAGGTCGTCCAAATTATGCGCTTGCGTCGTTAGCCGGAGGAGAGCGGCTAGTACGCTCCGCGAGTAGCCTCGGGGCGCGTTCCGTGCCACGGACGTCCGACAATTGACACGGGCGAAATTCGTCGATGCAAAAAGATTCGCGGGAAGCGAAGGGAAGATGAACGAAGAAGAAGAAGAAGCTTGACACAATATTCATTGACTCGTATCCGAGGCAGCGGAACGCGGGCTCGGTTCTTCTGCCGGAATAACGATTAATACAGGCTGGATGTAATACATTCCGGCTCCTCTTGTTTCCCAGCTCCGGTTTTTCTGGATTCTCGGGCACGTTCCCTTTCGCCGAGGATTCCACGCGGGTCCTCTCTCATTAATTATTCATCGGCTTCTTGCCGACATCCGGCGGGTAGAACGGCGAGCATCTTCGCTCGTGTTCGCACGAACCTCACGCCGGTCTCGTTTCGAGGTTCGAGTCGCGGGCTCGAGCAGCCTAGCGGTCCTCGCCGCGGCAGCCGCACGGAAACCCGCACACGCGCGACATCGAGAGTCCTTACGGCTCTTTCGACTCGATTTCCCACGCTTACCGCCTCGCGAGTCCTCCACACGGAAATTTCGAGGCTGATACGCGACCGAGCGGCTGATTGATTCATCGTTAAACACGGCTGTCGATGTTCCTCGCTGTTCAACGCAAGATCGATCGCGAACGTCTACTTAGAATATTCGCAATCGCAACGCGACGGTTCGCCGTTTCGCCGCGGATCACCGGAACGATGATCGCGCATCAATATTTCCTCTCTCGCGAAGAAAATGAATGGTTGCCGGGCAGAGGGACCGTTTGCACTAGGGGTGGGCTCGTGTTGCCTCGTCATAACTCTGTTTGACCGGGTAGCGGGCTGTTTCTTGTTCCAGCGTTAATTACGCTCTCACTCTACCGTAAACACATACCGAATTCATGACGGGCTAAGTGCGGCGCTGGTTTAATTGTCTCGTGTTTGAACAATCCCGGAACAGCGCGACGTGCATGACCGATCCATTTTGGCTCGCGTCGGGCTCCTATCGCGATCGTTAATTTACCGAGGCACTCGTCAAAGGCACTCGTTCCGCCGCAGTGAAAGGCGGTCGGACAGCAAACGCTTCGATTCTGTCCCCGGCCGCGACCGATGTAAATAACGTGTCAAACGCGGATCCGTGTCGACGGTTTCTTAAAAACCGTGTCGACGCGTTCGTCGGTGTTCCGTTCGGCGAACACTGCGAGCGAGAGGTAGACGCGGGCGTTAAACGATCCGTGAATTCTTCTCGAATCGTATCATCGGATTTCCACGCGACTTGCCGCTCGTCCTGTAAACGGGCAATCCAAATATTCCGAGTGGACGACGAGACGGTACCCGATAAATCGGCCGATCGAACGCGTCGCACTTAGCGGCGGAATTCATTACGAGAGACGTCGCAGCGCTATCCTGTCGGTTGAAATCATACCGTCGACCGGACAGTTCACAATGCGAATCCTGTAAATGGGTTCATCCCCCCGTTAAAACGTGTCAGTTAACAGCGACGCGAGTGTCCGCGATGCGCACAATTGTGCTCCCCGGCTCGCCGTCCCGATTTCCCCTTTCATGCATCGCTTCTTACGAGCGGAGCCCATTGTCGGGGCTCGCGTGCGCGCTGCACTCCGGGAATCGCGGACCGTTCCCTGAAAAGTAAGCGCTACTCACCGTGCATCTGATAGAACGCCGTGATACCGACGCGATCCGCTCCATCGAACGAGACGGGACCCTGAAACGACACGACACAATGAACCAATTCTTCCCGATCGATGTGCACGCGATGAAATTAACGACGCTCACGAGCGGCCGTTGAATTGTCAATGATTCACCGGAGCAATCGATCGTCCTTAAACGATGTTGTCCCGCGGTTAATGAACTCTCAACCCGCAAACCGTGTGGCCTACGAAATTGGTGCACGCGTTTTGCTGGTCGAATAGCTTAGGGACCGGAAGACCCGCCATTATTGCCTCGGCGGGTGATTGATGAGTACGTCGGGAGCGGAAGAAGAGCGAGGTGGCCCGCTAATTTTGCTGCGCCTCGCGTACGTGGCGCGGTTGTTAACGTGCTCGAACAGAAACGTTTAGACAGACGTTGAACAGTCCGGAGGAGACTGTTAGCGTCGCTGCGCCGGCCGTTCCGCTCCCTTTGCCCCTGTGTTTCCGTCGATCGACCATTGTCCCACCTACTCACCGAGACTCCGACGAAACGAAGAAGCTTCATCTGCTCCAGAAGTTTCTTCGCGATGTCCTTTCTCTTGTGCGTGTACTGCGCCAGCGACGAGTTCTCTTTGTTCAGCACGATCTCCGTCCTCTCGAGGCCGAGCGCCATGGTCCAGACAGCGTCGTACGTTTGCGCGGCGTATTTCGAATGCGTCACACCGATTCTGGCCAGTTCCGAGGTGAAGCTGCTGCTCGTCTGCGCAAAAGACGATCGTATCCGCGTTAGGTTCAACGGTTCTTTTCGTCGAGTGTAATAGCAGTTACGGCGGAGCCCGGCGTAATCCCTTGGAAATATGCGCGAACACTCCCTCTGCGTGTCCCGGGGCTTGATAAAGGTTTCACGGCGAGGATTAAATAAAAAGAAGACTCGCAATCTCGGTGTATCTTGGTGGCGCGCGGACGCGGCCAACTCTTCCCCTTTGTTAGCTCACCTCACCGGGAAGGAAGGTAAATCTCTTTCGCCGAAGCGGCCATCGCTATGCATCGCGGAAAGCGGAATTGCCGCGGGAGGGAATGGTTTCGGGCCCGATAGACGGGAAAATAGACGGCGATGTGTTTTTTTTTCCCGAGCGCGTTGCTCGCCCCGGGCAAACAATTGTTACGAGAGGAAAATAAATTTCATTTCGCCGAACGGCGCGGCGCGGTGTGTGCTCGCGTGTCTTCGGCGGCGCGGCCGGTTATTAACAAATTAAACGGTTCGCGTGCGCGCGACAAAGAGCGCGACAGCCGTCCGCAGTTTGTCCGACAGATTGGAAACTGTTTCGGTTTCGATGGAATCTCGCCCGCGCCCCCGTTAAACGCGCGTGGAAATTTGATCGAGGTTGTTCCGTCGTTGCGTTCTCAAGCGATGATTCCGACGGATTACCATCGCCTCCCGGGGCTATCGAAATCTCGCCGGTTTCTGCGATCATGCTCGCCGGAACGTGTCGGAAAGACCGCTTACACAACCGTCGGTTATATCCCGTCGAAACGACGCGTCGTTCCCGTCGAATCGAAACAGTACGAAACGACCGACCGGGCCTGTCGGGTTTCTCTCCCGTGTAATGGAAAATCCGGCCTGCTTCGCGCGCCGGTTGCTTGAGTATGCAAACAAGACGGTCGCCGCGCGTCGCGTACCCTTCTTCTTGGTCCCGACGCCGCCGTGTAAGCCCGCGGGGGCCGCGAATTTCTATTTTTCCGCGTGCACGCGCGGTAAATATTCAGCGCGCACGCGAGCGCGGCCGGAATTATTCATGGCGTCGTTCGTAAAACCAAGAAGACGAACGGTTTCGCGGGGGACGGTTCCGTCGCGGACGAATCGGGAGCGAAGCTCGCGGCACGGATCGGGAGCGAAGCTCGCGGCACGGATCGGAAAGGATGCGTGACCAATTAGGAGGGACCCACGGACGGGCATACCGCACGGAACGAACAATAATTAGCGACACGTGATTTCATCGTTAGCTCGATCGCTCGAGCACGGAAACGCTCGATACGGGCAAGTTCGTACCCATTATCGAATCCGTGACCCGATGCGCCGTGACGTTTCGTCGACTTTCGTTCTCCGCGAAAGGAAATTCAATCGCGGAGCTCTCCGGTCGAAATCTATAACCCGCGTTTCTTTCGTGCGCGCGATTTCCTGGCCGATATTATCGAGGGATGCTCTCTTAACGCGATATCGGGTAATCACAGCCGGCAAGAAAGCTCCGAATCGCTTTGTCTTCCTTCGAACCGGGGTCGGACGGTACATTAATCACCGGCTACCGCGAAACCTCCTTCCGGCGGAATTTCTTTGCGCAACGGGCGATAACTATTCGAGCGGGGTCGCGCGATTACTCGACTGAGACGGATCGTTCTCCCCCGAGCGTACGACACTCGAAAGCGTTTTCCACGCGCTGCAAATGAGCGCGAGGGCGTAATTGGGGAAAGGCAAACGATCGGAGAGGCACTTACCAGGCCCGACAAGCTAATCTCGTTCCCCATGACGGCAGCGTGGCTCTTGACGATGATCAATCCGGCTAGGGTTTGCCATAGCTGCGAGGGCGTGCATTCCTCTGGCCCCGAGTGCCACCAATTGCTCGCGAGCCCCGACAGGTCGATCGTGTCACCTGGCAGGATCCATGCATAGTCGCCTCCGTGCATGCCTAGCTTCCATGCCTAATTGCGGCCGGCGAAACAAAGCGAACGAACCGATTAAGCTGGACACTTACGGGCGCGACCCGTTTGTTTTCCCGACTTTCGCTTTTCTTTCGCGAGACCGGGCGAAACGGACGGTGCGAGCCTCGCAATTGGCTCCCGCTGGCAGCTTCGCTCTTTATGTTCCCGCGAATACATGCAGCACACTCGGATAAGTCTTTTATCTCGCCGGGAAAACAGACGAGTTCATTACGCGCCCGAGTTTTATATGTTTCAGGAAAAATGCACCTCTCCTCCCTCTCTCTCTCGCTCCTGCCGTCTGTCCGTGTCGCGCACACCGTGAAATTAACGCAGCGTTACCCACATTCTCGACGTGCCGTCGCGATACGTCCGTCTGCAAGGATCGATCGTCGAGTGCACTTGCCAGCGAAGAAAGTTAATGGGGTCGCACTCCTCGCGGCGAGGCTACTGTAGAAAAAATCGCGGGGAATGCAACGCGCATCTGGAACCTCGGAGGGAGCCATTGGCATACCGGAAATACTTCGTCGATAGGCTTCTGAGTGGGTGGTCGCTCGGTATAGCCGGGAACGTCCCGAGATCCGGGGGACGTCTTAATAAAGCACATCTCGCGACGCAAGCCTTTCATTCTATCGAAAACGTCGCACGCGTCTTTCGATTATCGTCGAATCGCGTTTCCGGCGTCGTATGCGGTTCAAGCTAGCCGAAACCGAGAAATCCCATAGTTCCTCTACGTTTCTACCCGTTTACGGTAAAAAGTTTTCGCGTTCGGGTAATCGATTTCGGTCGCGCGCGGCCGAGCCGAGTTCCGTCGAGCCGCCGACTATCGATGTCGATATTAACTTTCGCCGGGGGAGCTCGCGAAACTTGTCGCGAAGCGCGCCGTTATCGCCGGCGGTCCTCGTTCTTCGAAAGTTCCGCATTTCTTCGGGAAACCGATCGTTCGCTCGCGGTCACACGCGACTGTCTCGGCGAGCTCGGTCGCCGCGCGAACCTAAAAAACTGGGTCGCGCGACGAATCGTCGCAGTTGGTCGAAATCGTCGAACAGTAGATATTTAATGGAGCAACTTTTTCTCTTTGCACTGATACAGTGATTCTTTATGGAGACTATTACTGTAGAACAAATACGTATTTGCAAGCCGAGGCGCGTTCCTTGGCTGGGAACGCGAGAACGACGAACGCGGCGCGCGCGGAGCGTGATACGCTTCCGGAAACGGGCGAGAAGCGCGAAAGTAAAGTAGCCGTAGTTCGCAGCGTCGAACGGCGACGCTCGCGTAAATCAGACCGGTCTCTTCGTTCCAGCAAGAACGGGGAACGCAGTAAAAATGGTAATAAAGAGATATAGAGCGACGCGTGCCTCGGATGCACCGTAAGTAATGCCGTGTATTATTTACGGTTCAGGCTGTTCCCGGGCGTCCGCGCGTACGCGCGCGACCGTTTCGCCCGTCCAGGTGTTCTCTTTATTTTTCCCCGTGAGTTTACATTGCGATTAAACGGGTGATAGGCGCAGGGCGACGATAAATTCCGTTCGATCGCGAAACGAAGCCCTCGGAAACTATACTCCATGAAACGACGAGTTCCCGTACAGGCGTTCGCCGTAATTTCCGTTGATTTACGACAGGAACGTTTTCCGCGGGCTTCTTGTTTCGCAGCGCGCGCCGAAGAAAAGAGGAAAGCCACGTCCCGGCCGAGTATCCGCGTAACGAACGACCGATCCCGACCCGCGTTTATTAAGCATCGGCCGAGTAACGAGAGGCGCAATTGTTCCAATGGGAAAAAAGACACCGGCACCGCCGATCTAACGCCTGCGTTCCCGTTTATTGCTTTCCACCGCTAATTATTTCCGGCCGGGTAATGGTGCAGCCGACCGAGGCAGCTGGGAAACCGTGTCCCGATGAAAAATAGCCCTACATGGAAGCCGGCCGTCGTCCGGTCGGTTACACCGCGCGAATCCGTGATTTTTCCCCTAATAAGGTTCTAACGAAGCGTCCAGCGAGTTCGCGAACAAAAAGAGAGAAAACCGAAGAAAGACGAACGACAGACCAACGAGGAATTAACGTGGATATAACCGACTCGACTCGCTCGGACGAGGGTGAGGGTAAACGGATACGTTTCGCGCGAGTGTATCGACATTGGGGTTTCTATAGGGCGGACAGGTGGCGAACCGTGATACCTGAGGGACCGATAACGGGGTTTAAAGAGCATCGGAGGAAGGTCGGTCCAGCATTTGTTGCGAGTTCGCGTTACGCCAGCGTTCGCAATCCGACCTCGACGTATTTTCGTGAAACGGTCCGCGGCGGCGTGTCGGCGATACCGGTGTAAATCAGAAGCGCGATTCGCTGACGCTGATACAATCCCGGCGAACCCCGGAGCGCCGGGACATTACCGGGCAGTGCAACTTTTCCATTTCCCGGCTAATTTTCGATGAGCAATCAAGTTTCTCCGACAACGGAACAAATTAGCTCCGCGCCCGGCCCCTCGCCGATTCGGCGGGCGGAGACCCGGCGAAAGTTTCCGCGATGGCCGACGCGTGCGTTTCGGGCCGGCGAGCGTCGAAAAGTTCGCCTTAGGGTCGCCGGAATTCCGGAGGAACGGGGGTGAGATCCGGCGGAGACGTCTTCTTTAAAATTATTTTAATGATTTAATTGTGCGCGACCCAATTTGCCACGGGTTATTAGTATGCGAGCCGAGCGGGCGGTTAAAAATTTTTCCAATACACCAGCCGCCGAGTGGTCCTCCGAAAGCATCGGTCTCTAAATGTAAAGCGAGCCGGAGAATAATGATAAAGACGAGGGACGGCGGGGCGAGAAAGAGGGAGGAATCGCGTCCTACTTTGACACAATGTTCATTATTCGCTTAGCTGGAACACAAGCTGCGACCATGTGTTTGCATTTCATCGGCTCCCGGCTGAAAACCGAGGCGCAAACCTCCTCCGCGCGGACGGTGCATTTTAGCTAATCGATCGGCGCGGGGGGGACACGAGCCGACGAAACACGTACGC